CCCCCACCCCCAAACCTCAGCAACTCAGCAGCATCAGTGTTTAAAAACCGGTGTCCGTTCCCAGGTGTCAGCATAAGCTTGGTCACAGTTTAAGGACCGAGTCCCTGGATGAGGAGCCTGTGGCCAGGCAGGGGCTCACTGTCCCAGCTCTGTCCTTGTCCCACACCGCTCTCATGCCCTTCTCACCAGCATCGCCACACGGCTGCCCTCACAGAAGGAGAAAGGGGGGGGTTCCCCCCCGCCCCAATACAGCAGCAGGAACTTAAGGGAGGTGAGGGCATGCTGCTAGCCTTCTCCCAGCCGCTGCCCCACACAGCTCAGGCATCAGTCTGACCTGCACGAGGTGCAGCTTGGTGTCCTCTGCTCCGAGCGCTGACACCCAGAATGTGCTTTAAAGGAAAAAAAAAAAAAAAAACAAACCCAAAAAAACCAAAACCAAACCCACCCCAACCCTCTTCACCCTGCTCTTCCCAGGGCATTGTCCAGGCTGCCAAGGCAAAATCGGAGCAAAACCAAATGTGGCTCCAGAGAAACGCTTCTGAAGACAGCAAGGATGATGCTCAAATCATGAGCTGTGCTCCTCGAGCCTCCTCTTCCTCAGCAGCCCTCCATGCTTGGAGAGCACAGCTCTGAGGACTGGCTGGTAGGTAACTCTCCAAAGAGGGTCTGTCCTGCTCTGTCCCCATCACACACCCCTCGCAAAGGGGTCAGGACATCGTCACGTCCCATCGCACCACTCCAAGGGGAGCAACATGGCTAGAGGAGCTCCTGTCTCCCAACTCCATCCTTCCCAGGAGGTGCGAGGAGAGAAGGGATATGACACTGGAAAGAGATCCTCCGGTCAGTTCGGTCCTATGGGAGGGGGGATTAAGCTCCCCTCAGCCTTAAACCAAAATAAAATTAAGCCTGTGGAATAGCTTTAAAAGCAATGCCTCTTCTTCTGTAGTGTGATGTCAGTGCCCGCACAGGTACCGTCATATGCTTGCAGCAGGAAAAGGGGAAAAAAAAAAAAAAAGAAATACCCCTTGCCCCCCC